GCTTCCATTTCTACGTCACTTCCTTTATTCTCTTGTGGTGCAGTGTACTTAGCGCTGGTAAAAGCCAGGGGACGAGGCACTTTTGCCTTAAACTAGTGGGAAGGAGCTCATCGGTGAAATGGTCTTTTTGTGAAGCGGTATCCAGCGCAAAATTCGAATTTGTGCTAGTGATATTCCCCCAGTAAGAATACATAGTAAGGGCGCAGTCTGTGACGAGGGGCGTTTTGCATTTTCTTTGCTCTACTAGTTCCGGTTTGCATACTTTACCTGAAAAACCTGTGAACTCCTGTGAAGCTGGAGCAAGCTCATCGAGCCACAATGGTGAAACCTGTCAACTCACGAAAAGGCTCTCTAGATGGGTCGACACGTCGATGGGAAGTAGCAAAAGTGCAAAATGCCTTTCCCCCGTGACCGAACTGCGTCTACAGTAAGAAGTGTTAGGAGTGCTTGTAAATACCTTTAATGCTTTGCAACCAAATGCGTTACCATACGGGAAGAGAGCATCATCGTGGCACAAAACACAATTGGGTGTTTTTCGCCCCCTTCTCTATTAGAATAAGTACCTCTGATGTTTCTAGTAAATCTACTCTTCTTCCTGCAAGAATCTGAGAAAGTTCAACGAGAGAATAGGGAGTTCTGACGAAAAAGAAAATTGAGGGGATTCGTATTCAGTAGAACTTCCCGTGACTGGAACGGCGACTAGAAGAGAAATAAAGGAAGTCGAGGAACACAGTAAGTGCTCCAACACGTTCGGGTCGACGCGCATTCCTCGGGAGGGCATACGAAGGTTCCTCTCTCGGTCATTCGCGCAATGCGGGGGGGGGTATCAACGCGTCTTCGGTTTCGTGTTGAAGATCTATGAGCACTAGCACATCTTCTGAATGGCTTACTTTGTCTTCACGATGGTAGAGACAGTGCTTATTGCATTTAGGCGACTTTCTCGATAAAAGGATCACAATTTCCTCCCACTTAATGACGTGCAGCGAGCAGCACAGATGCCTCTGCTGCTTCATGAGAACCCAGGCATTCGTCCCCGCACACTGGCAGACAAGATGGATGGTCGGGCAAGTCAGTAGCGGTTTTACCCCTCCTGTATTCGTGAGTTTCTTTTGGCAAAAAGACGTATATATCAAAATTGACGTTAAGTTGGAAACACCATTTTGTTTGATATCTCCAACATGTCAAATCCTAGCATTGTCATCAAAAGCAAGATGAAAAAGCACAAAAAATTGAAGCACCCACATCATCTCCAGCAAGACGTGCCAACAGCATTTTCTTTTCACGACCAGTAGCATGCTCAAGAGGGTCTGGGTAATAACCGTAGTCTTCAGGTGAAGCCTCTGTGGCCAATGAACGACGTGAGACAACAGCAGGCATCAAGGTTCGCTTCGAAAGCGATGACAGAACGGTACGAGCTGTTAGTTGGGCCATACCTGCAAACAATAGCATTAAATGGAAACTTACGAGCTGCGAACGCAACGCGGCTTGGAACTGTAATATTTTAATTCAGGTCTTTGAGGAACCTCCACTGCAAAAACGAACAACCATTGATGCGGCATTTTTATACAGACGAGAAACAAAGTTCCTGAAGATCGATTCGCGCCTAACCCACAAGAACCTATATCACACAACGAAAGCTCCCTTGCGAATACACATGAATTTTCAAGGAACTGAGCTGTTATTCAAACGCCCCACATGCCTAATTGGAAAGGAAAACAATTTCGATGGATGCTGTCAAAGTTCAAAGAGGTCGTCAACCTCAACAAGAAGGGGAGATATGGAATGAGTTTAGCTCGAACCTTTAGACAATTACTTGTCAAAAGTGAAGTAGATTCAAAGCAACCTTCATCAATCGATACCGCTCAAATCGTCACTTCGGAGCCAACTTTGATTGACCATGAGGGCAATCGTCTCAGGACCACCAGTTGATATTAGAGCGCCGTTGTCAGAGTGAGAGCGTAGATGGGTTGCTCAGCCACTCCGTATGGTTCCTATACAGACTGAAACGTTCCATTTTTTCGAAATGTACCTACCATCAATAATGGAACAGCTGGGAGTACATTATGGTCACATTTCCAATAGCTCCCACTCCCACAACAATCTAGTCGGTCAGGAAAATACTGCGAATATTGAGTCTTCTATTGTTAGTGCTTGCTTGCGCTCGGAAACTGGGAGAGAAATAGCTGGTTTTCCGCAGCCGAACTTCTTGTTGGGATAGGCATGTTTCTTTATTCCTTCAGAAAACTGATTCGAGGCAAATAAGATCAGCTATTTCTGTAGTTCAATAAGATCAGCTAGTTCTAAACATTGCTGTCAGGGTACAGCATCGTGATATGTGAAATAGCGGTGACGACCCCCCACCTGAGAGAGGGCCTTGGTACGACCCCACTAACCAGCACCTACCTACCACTTTCCCATATTTGTCAGTTTTTCACTCAAAAACTTTCTGTCGAGCGGGGTCGGAGGAGGGGTGCACGGCAAATCTTACACATGAAACAGGAAAAATTACGAAAGGTCAACAACCAGAGGAAATTTTTCCTCCCAACGCGGCAAAATCCTCTCAAGTCACACGCGACCCCCTCTCTCAACAACGACCAAATACTACTCCTCCCTCTTCCAGCGGAAAAATACGACCCCCGTTTCACACAACGATGCTGTGCTCTGTTGCTGTTCTTTGATATGCCCACTGCAGAACCAGTGAATTACAATGTTGCTACAAGCCAAATTCTACCGTTTCTCTTGGAGGGAAACGGTACACTCACACCTCCGTAGGTCCTGGTCCTTGCCGTATGAGGTGATTAGGTCCTCAGCTGCAGTAGGGTACCACTTTCTCCGGTCGAAAGCGCACGGGAACTGGGCTGGGGACAGTGCCACTCGGGTGCTGTTTAGAACACCTGTGGGACTATCCTGAAGAAGTAGAACTTGATACGATACCCTAATCCCACAGCGTACTTGCAGTCCAAAGTAGAGAACACCAGACGTGAGAGAGCGGACAAGCAGCCCATTTGGCCATGGTCAGGCTCGAAACTGACTGTGCGACAGCTGGGGCGGAGTATCAGATTTGTTGGCACCCGGGGTGATCTTTGAGTGGGGAGAGTGGCACACTAATGTAGCTGTGGACTCATTCATGTCGCGTATGGCAAGGATTATGAGGTAGATGTAGAGTGTGTCTTCGTAGAAACAAATCCCTTGCAGATGGCTATATCACACGATGATCGAGTGAGAGGGGAAATGTGCAGATCGTCACAGTCATTGGGCATACTCCACCGATGCACCCCTCTTTCCTATCACGTATGAGGGAAGGACTATGCGCAAATGTTAGAGTCTCGTTCGAAGCGGACGAAGGGGCGTGTCAGGCGCAATGAGTTCGGACGTGGCCAAGCGCCTTCTCCACCAGCTGTTGAGGTATACCGTGCTTGTGAGTGCTCAGTCATTTCTTCGAACATATGATAAACTTGCGGAATGTGTCTTCCCCTGTATGATAGTAGAGAACAGAGTCAGCCAAAAAAGTCTATTCAGCCACCTGCAGCGGGCTTTCTCGTCGGCATAACAATCCAAAACAGGCAGTTTCTGAGAAGCACGGCCTATTTTGTGGAAGGTGGACAATAGAATCGTAATCTGTCGCCTGGTCGCGCGGCGTATCTTGTGACAATGCGCGACAATTCCTCAAAGTGCGGTGTTCATCAATTGGAGCAGCGAAACTCACATGGACCCAGGATAGGACTCCATGGCGGGCAATATCAAATTTTTCCGTTTCCGTAATACTAAAATTCAAATGACCGGGCACTACAACTGGTCCGCCGAGCACGGCCTCGCTGGCCACGCCCACCACCGCGGCCTATTACAAATTTCTTGTCCCATTCCTCTACTCTGTCCAGACTTTTAATAGAATGTTCATAAAAACTTTATTTAAATCGAAGATGTTGTATGAGACGTTGATTTCTTCAGCTGTCCCGTCTTCTGTTTTGCTTACGAAGGAACTTCAACTCGTGCCACGGTACGCACCTTTCCACCGCACCGTATGCTTGTCATTATTCGTTGCTAAAAGCGGATCGATCACCCAAATACCGATCAATAAAATCGATCAACACCAGCAGACAGTCGAAAATGGATGACGGTTACGACGAACATGTGGAGTCGGTCGCAGAATACCCTGACGTTTGTTAAGTTTCTCGGCCATCTCCGGATCGGCTTTGGCTACGGAAATTACCTGAAATACTCTTCACTCGTTTTAATTGACAAAAATTATTGTAGTAATTGATAGCCATAAGCAAGTAAACTAATATATAAAAACGAAGTTGAAAACTGATCGACACAATTCATTACGGTCGGTCTACGCCATGCATTTCGTCACAGCAGAAAATTAAGACACTTATGTACACACGCCATTGCAGTAGGGTGGGCGGAAGTGGGCGTAAGCTCATGACTATTGCGCCTTCCTCACTCGCGTCTTTCCTCTTTATCGTCTTATCAGAGAGGAAGGAACGCACCAATGAGAAAGGTGCCGTGCTAGCTCTGACTCCGCCCACACGACATGCATGGACTATGTCAGTGGCGATTTTGCGTGGAATTCGAATGTGTGACGCACACCAGAAGGGTTGTTAAGTACCAGACAAATTACCCTCCTTTCTTCAAGATCAGTACAAGGATTACTCACCATTGAACCATCGGTATAGTCACGCATGTACTGTACCGCATGTGTACTGGAAATGTAGGCCAAACAGACCATATGCAAATTCGGCATGGCACAATCATGCGAACAGATGAACCACAAAAGTACCGCAGATAGATCTTCGTTTTGCTGGAATAAAAGTATCGAATCACTTCGGGAAAAACTATGGGCGGAGTCACCGGTCCATTGCGCTTTTCTCGTTGGTGCGTCCCTCTTCTTTGCCGCATCAGAAGGGGCACCAACAAGGAAGCACAACGGTCGAGGCTCAGTGCACATGAGGCAAAACAGCCAGCCAGACTCATTCGAAGAAATTTGATGCTGGATAGTTTTCAGTTTCTAAATGCTGTCGTGAGAATTCGATAAAGAGTTGTGAACCAGTTGCGCACTCAACCTGGCCAGATGACGTCATTAATCACTAAATCTCTCACCTTGACAACCCATTTCACAGCTTCTGCCTCCAATGAATTTCGGAGTTTCGGGAAGTTCAGCGCTCGCATTCTATACAAAAAAATGTATGAGATTACGAAAAAAACACTTCCTCTTATATCCTGTACTATCCCAAGGTGGAACAGTGGCGATGCCGATACTATGCACATTGTTTTTCTGGACCAAAACCCAGCGAGAGCATCAAGCATCAGGTCGTTTTGTTGTCGGCTATTCGGTGGCGGTCTGGGCTGGGAAATAGAACCTCGTCATGAAAATCTCGCCCAGCAGGTTATTGTTAGGACAAATCGCATCCAAATTACACAGCGATTTTGAAAGGCTGTCGAGGGCATGGCGTATCTCGGCATGCGGTGCCCTGTAATTTATCGTTTATCCCTTAACGTGCCAAGCATCAGCCACTTACAGACTCTTATTTGCCTTTCCTGCGCTCCTGATCATGAAGAGAAACCAGTTGTCCTTACCTTCGAGCAGTTTCGATGATATCATGCACGAGTGATGGAGACAAAATCGGTGGTGGCGCCATGGTTCCCGTCAGCGTGAACGTCAGTGCCTACATTAACAAAGAGTTAATGCAGTGGTCTAGTGCCTATTACAAGGCCCCTACGATTCTGAGAGAAGTCCAGTCTAAGTGTCACGCTAAAATAGGCGTACCAAGCTTAATCCTTACAGTCTTTGCCTTGTACAGGGGGCCAAAAAGGTCAACTTTCTTCCTTGACTTTCAGGGCGCTATAAGTTACACTTAATTGAATTCTGATGGGACATTTCCACCACCATATTCAACAGCATATTGTATACTATCATGATGCTCCGCCACAGCCTTCTGGACGAGCGCCATCGAGAGATTCTGGCACGCGACCGCGATGTGGTGCCTGAGATCAGCGAGATAGTTGATCTCCGCCACTGTAGACCACCCTATTGAACTCCGCCCGAACCAGGTAATTGAGGGGGTTTAGGTCAGGTGACACACTTGGATATTCCATCTTCTTCAGGTACTCAACGCCCTTCCATTCCAAGTAGGCGAGAGTTTTCGATTCCATGTGCTGGCACCCAATCCTGTAGCAGTACGAAGGCGACATGAAGGCAGGATATTCTTCACGAGTTGGTCGATGTAACCGTCAGCGCTCACCTTCAGTCCGGGTCCACGAAGAAAATATCGGTCTTCCATTCCAGGAACTTCCGGTCCATACCAACCCGCGCCTTGGCGACTGCGGTGAAGATGATGTCCTAGACCGTAGCGACGTTGTCGGAGCTGCTCGATGTTGGAGGTCTTCCAGATCGAGAGTACTGGTCTCCAGGTAGCTATCCATGGGTGACA